GATAAAGGATTGTGGGATAACTTTGGGGATCAAGATTACAGAATAACACAGAAGATAATGCCCCTGTCCCTCTTATGGACAGGCGGATTTTTAAAATAGCCTACATTAGAGGCGTCTTCTTACATTTTTGAAAAAGAATCTTAGCGGTTGCCTGAGACCACGACGTGCAACCTCTTACGGAACTGTACATCTTGAACAAAAGCCAAGAATGGAGAACAGAGCAGGAGCCCACAGTTTAGTGCCTCACAACCACACACAGAGCCTGTTTTGTAAGAAGACACACCTGCCACCAGGGCTCTGGTTCTGTCAGCTTGTGGGGGGCTCAGGAGCTGCACTTTTAACCAAGCTTTTGGGTGATTCTGATGCAGGGCCCACAGGCTGCTCTCTGGAAGACTCATGGACATCTTTCCAGAGACTTCTCTGAAAGCAGGTGGCCTTCAACTCTCGTATCATGGCCTTCATGACTCAGCATTTAGGTACAAGTGCTCGTCCTGCCCTTAGGCCTAGTTGAGTTTTTTGGGGGAAAATTACAAAACTTTCTGTTTTTACTCTTTATCTCTGGTACCCCCATCCCCAAACGGTGTCAGTGCTAAGCTAATTTCATTGTGCTGACCTGATTTCTCCTTTAGCATATGCTTTTTATTTATTTATTTATTTATTTATTTTTGATATCAGGGACTGAACTCAGGTCCCTTGTGCTTGTGAGGCAGGTGGCAGAACCACTGAGCTAAATCCCCCCTCTAGCATATGCTTTTAAATGAGGCCTAGAAAATGCTTACAAGACAGAAAGCTCTGACCTCTCTCTCTTTTAAGGTCCAAAGCTTGAGATCTTAATAGAGAAGTGAAGACTGTCATAGAGAGCTGGAACCAACCAGACAGAGCTGGTACAAGGCACATGGATGTCTTGAAGAAGGGAAAGCTGATATCTGCTTTAGTTCATAAGCTATGAGGAAAATGGCCCTGAAGTGGCCCAGGGAGGGTCACCCGTGGGTGGGAAGGTGCAGGACAAGTACTTATAAATGGATAGTCTTTGCCATCTGAAATGCTATCTTTCATCTTTCTCTTCTTGGACTTTCCAGAATACATTTTCACAGCATTCTTGCTGGAGCAAGGACTACCAAAGAAGAAAAACAGAAGATAGTAAAGCCAAAAGAGTGTTTGTTGTAACAGAGCTGTTGGTACGAAAATATGTCCACAGAACATGCCACACCCTTCCCAGGAAGATATTACTGGCCTAGAAGTTGGTTTATATATCCCAAAATATACCTCATAGAAAGCAGTTACCCTCCTAAAATAGACCGTATAATTAAGTAAAGTCTTTTTAAGTGGATTGTTCTGTATTACAGCTTGACATACATTGCTTCAGCAAGTGTTGCCGCGTGGGGCTACAAAAGCTCTCTACTATACCTTTGAACCCAACTGTGGTGTTTCTGGCAAACTGATGCAAATAAAAAGTCCTGTGTATCAAAATACTCAATCTCAATCATCCGCAGTGAGCTCACTCTTCTCCCTAAGAACATTTTCATCACACCAGAATCGCTATCCTTGACTCAAAAGGAAGGACCACCTCAGGCTGAAACACTGTTTTATCTCTGAGGTCATCTTAAGACAAACACATCTGAAGAAGCTGGAACTGAAATTCAAAGCACAAGACATCCTCTTTTATGTGAATGCAGGGACATGTGTGATCTTACTTTTATCTTGAAGGGCCAACTTTCAGTACAAGCCCCCAGAGACCCAACTGTCTGTCTGAATAAATTAGGTCAGCTGTTGCTTGGAGTCAGAGGTAATGGAAGAGGTAGTTTTTAAAGAATCCTTTCAGTCCTCTGAACACACTTGGTTTTATAAATTTATATATAATTAAATGTTAAAGTGTTTAAAATTTAAACCTTCAGAAGACTAAGTACTGACATTCAGATTTTTTTTTTTTATTACTTCCAATAGCGGTTTCTCAGCCTCAGCACTACTGACATCCGGGGATGGTTCATTCTGTGTGTGTGTGTGTGTGTGTGTGTGTGTGTGTGTGTGCTGCTGTCCTGACACTGGTGGGCACTGAGCAGCATCTCTGGCCACCGCCCACTAGATGCTACTGGTACACACTCTCCCTCCCCCAATTGTGACCACATTAAAAGACTTCAGATGTTATCAGATATCCTCTGGGAAGGCAAACTGATCCATTTGAGAATCATTACTATTTATGTACTTATATCTCGTCCCTGACACAATTGGGTGGGGCTACATTTTTCAAGGCACCTGCAAGTTTAGGGTTAAAAATTTCAACTTCCCCTGACTCACAATGACGAATCAGGGTCTGTGACACACTACCATCTCAAAAGAGTTATAAACACGACTGCGACCTCCAGCCAAGGTTCTCTGGACCTGCTCCATTTTGGTCAGGACATTGAGGATGTCTCCTGAGCTGCCACCATCCTCCCTTCAGGAGCTCCATTCTGAGGAGACTGTACAGCAGAATCATTCATGGTCCACTGACAGGCTGTCAGTAGCGAGAGTGACCAACTAGGGTTGGGGCTGGGCATCTACAAACCTCATCCATGCAGGCAATGTGTCTGCACCAAATCCCATGAGGAGCAGTGTTCTGTGCTGGTCAAACACAGGGAGGGAAGCAGATAACTTCTCAAGGAGCTCTGTGGGGTGAGGAAGGGCGTGAAAATGACTCAAAGGACAAAGAACTCAAGAATGGGAGTCAGGAAGTCCAGTCTGGAGAAGAGATGGTGAATTGGGAAGCCAGATGTGGCGATGCCTGCCTGTAACTCCAGCATTCTTGGGAGGCTGAGGCAGGATTAAGTTTGAGCCCAGCCTGGGCAAGTTAGCAAATAAAGAATTAAAAAGGATGCAGATGCAGCTCAGTGTGAAGCCCATGGGTTCAATCCCTAGTACAGTGAAAAAAAAAAAAAAAAAAATGAAAGAGCAGTATGTG